GTTGGGTTGGGTTGGGTTGGGTTGGGTTGGGTTGGGTTGGGTTGGGTCGGGTCGGATTGAGTCAAGTCAAGTCAAGTTAAGTAAAGTAAGAATATATATATATATAAAATACATGATTGGATTTGGTGTTGGGTTAGGCCTTAAGGGTGAAGAGATGTTTTGATATGAAACGTGTATATAAACTTTTCTATGCATATTTCATATCATAATGGGTTTCATTTTATGACCTGACCGAATCAAACCCAACCCGAAATTCAATCATATATTTTATATATACATACAGATATATATTCATACTTGACCCAACCCAACCCAACCGAACCGAACCGAACCCCACCCAACCCGGCCCAACTCAACCCAACCGAACCCAACCCAACCCAACCCAACCCAAACCAAACCAACTCAATTCTAACTTAGACGTCAACTTCATTTATATATTCTTTTTTTAATTAGACGAGCTGTCTATGATTATCCTTAAAAGCATTTGAGTCAATTTCCATGAAATTTCTTCTATAGTCACTTTATTTGAATTTCCTGGAAAGCGGAATTTATCATCGCATGTAAATGATCGTATACGGAAAAATACGACCAAGTACATGGCTCAGTATTACAATCATAAGCTTCTGTGTCGTATACAAAGTAATACCGCAATATACGGAAATAAACGCGGTCATTTACGATTTTCGAATACGCAGTCCGTATAAGGTAATCGTTTTACTCCGTATTTCTCCGTAAACGATCGTATCCCAACGTATACGGTCACGACGATATACGATCGTAATACTGAGCCATGTATTACGGTAAAATACGACCGTAAACGATCGTATCGAGGTCGAATACGGTCGTATACGAAGTCCGTAATCGTCGACCTGGGCACTGAAAATAATGTTTTTTTTTTCGTGAGCCATATTTTCGTTTATCTACTGTATCTGTTTATTTATTGTATCAACTTTTTTTAATCAAAATATTATCAACTTTTTCCCATCAAAATATCATCAACTTTTTTTTTATATTAAATTGCTATTCAATGAAAATAATTTTTTTGTTCATGAGCCATATTTTCGTTTAAGCGTTTCTTTTGTTTTAATATACATTTCTTCAATTGCTTTTACTTCTTCTGCACATTTTTTCACTTGTTCTGCAGCTTTTATTGCTTGCTCTGCAGCTTGTTTTGCTTCTTCTTCAGCTTTCTTTGCCAAGACTTCAGCTTGTTCAGGAGCTCGCTTCTTATTACTCATCCTACTTCGAAGTTATGATAATTCTAAAATGGATTAAAAATATGAAGTATATGGACAGTTTAAAAATACGATAAAGGAAATTTACCTTTGGTTTCTTCTTCCTTTTTTTCAAATTTTTTTTATGTTTTCTAATTCATGTGATAAATCAAATTTTAATTGTTTATTCAAGTCAATATAAACTTGACCGATTTTAATAGCAATCAAATCACTCGGATCATCTTCATTTGTTACTTTAAATCTATAGAAGAAAATCAATTTTAACGAAAGAATCAATATTAATTATACGCTGAAGATTTATGTTCATTTATATCAGTTTCTGATAAACCATACATTTCGACACAAAGATGTCCTGTATAATAATTTGTCCTACAACGTAAGAGAATAAGACATTTCGCTTTATTTTAAAATCTAGTTAAAACTTACGAAACGAATATAAATTTATTTTCGTCAGTCAGGTCAAGGAGAAATTCTTCATATTCATCTTCATCTTCAAATTGAATAAATGCAACACCGAATGGTTCATTCAATATATCGGTTGGTACTTTAATATTTTTAATATTATAATCCGAAAATAAATTTGTTATTCGTTCGATCGTTAAATTTCTTGGTATGTTAGATATCTTGACAGAAGTCTGAAAGGAAATAATCAAAATTTAAAACATAACTATTCACAATCCTCACTTGAGAAACACGAATCTGTTCAAGAATTTCTTTTGTTTTTCCTTTTGTAAAACAAGCTGTTGCACTTTGTTTTGACCTAGAAAAGTGTTGATAAAACGATTTTAAAATAAATGCCTTTGTAAAATGTTTTTTTTTTATTTTTCCTTTCGTAAAGCCTGTTTTATGACTCACATTTTTTCTTGTTGAGTATGAATTTCTTCGATATTGTAGCAGCAATATAGAAGGTATGGGTGTGGATGTGTGGGTGTGGGTGTGGGTGTGGGTGTGTGGCTGTCCTTTGTTTGTTAGCTACGCCCACACCCACACTCACACCCCACCTATAGCCACAACCATACCCAACCACCCACCCACACACACCCACATCCACCCACCCACACACACCCACATCCACCCACCCACACCCTCCACGTTGGTGTCGCGGATGTTTTTTTTTGGTGATGCTCTCAGTAAATCGAATATAATCTCTTTACACAGAATTGAAGTTATGATAAAAAATTTCACACGAACATGCATAGTATTGTGTACAACGACACTGATGCGAATAGAAATATCCACACTCACAGGCAACGTTGTTCAAACGCTGGCTACTAGTTTTGTTCAGCACGTAATGCAGTATATAATACCGAAACAGTCAAATATCCAATCGATGGTGAAGAGAAGAGCCTCATCAACATATATACCCACACTTGCAGGCTCATTTGTGCGTTTGTTGCTTTCATTTGTTTAGTAACATGATACTCTCGTATCAACAAAGTGCACCATCGCTTTGCAATAGACGATGAAGATTTGTTTGATTAAAAAAAATCTGTTTTTTCTTATCATTGTCATGATGATCTTTCAGTAAGATACTATGGATAATAATCAAACAATATTCAGGAAACGAAGATCGCCTAAAATTCGTCTTTTCTCATCTAATTGAAACTTAAATCTGATGAGACGATGCTATTATGGACATAAGGTCTTTTTTCTCAAAGCTTATAATGCATTTACATCCAAAAAGTCAATTTACTTTGGATTGAATCTTGCATTATTTATCTGCTGATTGATGTCATAGTTCGAGAAAAAAGTCAAATATTTAGTCTTCATCATTGGGTCCAATTTCGTTAACAATGACGAAAATACGAAGCATCTGCTTTAATCAAAGGCTTAATGAGATTCTTATAAAAGTCCGAAGTTTCATACGTGATACCATTGATTCTTAAATCACGAGCATTGCAATTTTTACTTGAGCTAAGGACAATGTTTGTCGCATGAATCGTTCTACTCGCTTCACTCAGCAGTCTCATGAGCCAAAGCATGTTCGATCCGCCCTCATTTACACAGAATAGTTGTACGAGCTACAATACATGGACATCTTGGTTTGATACATCTGATCCGAATTTATTGCAAGGTGAATTCGAAGCCACAAGTCATATTCAACATGTATTTCCAAACTCCATGTGTCGTAACCCGATCGCCATCGAAGTAAATTCAATGTCACATACGCTTAAGTTTCTACTTTTGTGAAACATGATTGAAAATAACCGTTGAAGTATATAGATAGAATAGTGAGCAATCTACCCGTTCCGCTGTCACCAGCCTGTTCTACATACTGTGACAGACAAAACTATAGCCTATCTGAACCCCAAGCATGATATGATAGACGTAGGCAGGGCTGTCATTTTCGATTGAACAGTTCTATCATGGTTCATATTTTCATTCCATAAGGATTACGTGCTAAAGGTTCTTTCTCTTCTAGGTTCGAACACTACATGATGGTGATCCAACAAAAACCGGTGACGTCTTGCAACTCACCAAAGCGGACGGTTTTTTGTGTTTGAATCAAATGGTCGTCAATTTCAAAACGAAATTGTGTGCTGATTACAAGGTTCGCTATTGTTGTCCCACAAACAGCATTGAAAAACCAACAGCAGCAACAATGCCACCCATGTTTTCTAAGGTAAAACCGACGACAAGAAATGCCTGTGGTCGTCAAACAATTCATCCATCAAATCAACGCATTGTTGGTGGCGTCGAAGCCATTGCTCATTCTTGGCCGTGGATTGTTTCTTTGCAATCCCGCGATCATTTCTGTGGTGGTACACTGATTGATAATCGGCATGTGCTCACGGCCGCACATTGCATAAGTTCGACAAATTTTCGAGTCATTGCTGGCTTACATAGACGAACCGATGTCAACGGACCACGTTCGCAAAATCGTCGTGTATTGCGCGTCTTCGTCCATGAACAATACAATTCAAGAACTGAAGCCAACGATATTGCATTGGTTCGTCTCGCGCAGCCAGTACAATTTAATAACTATGTCAGTGCAATCTGTTTGCCCGGGCCTAATCCTCAAGAATCTCAACGTGTCACAGTGGCTGGCTGAGGTGTTCTATCATCAGGTGGGAATAGCGCTTCTTCACTCCGCCAGGTCTCTCTCTATGTGATGAATAATCAAGCACAAAAGGCTTATGGGAATAACTTCGATGTGCGACGACAGATCGGTGCCGGTATGCCGAACATTGGCGGAAAGGATAGTTGTCAAGGTGACAGTGGTGGTCCATTGATGTACAATGCAAATAATCAGTGGTACCTTTCTGGTGTGGTCAGTTTTGGATATGGTTGTGGTTTCGCAAAGTATCCTGGTGTTTACACTCGTACTAGTGCCTATCTCAGGTGGATTCAGACTAAAATTAATACTGCTTGATTGAAATCACAAACACTAATCGATACACAGAAATGGACTGAATTATGGATCTTTGCTTCATTAATCTCTGCTAAAAGTTTCTATTTGCTGATGTCGAATTGCTATTTTTTTGATGATCTGTCTTAAAATAGAAGAATTCGACATGAGGTAGCATACGAAAATCTAATTTTATAAATTCGTGTCACTTGACATGAAAAAAAAGTCATGAAATCAAACAGTATTTGTCTTTTACCATCTAACTCATTCTAAATCAATCAGAGAAATAATAATTTGAGAATGTCATCGACTAAATCAATATAAGACATTGCAGATTACTAATTGATCACTATCAAAGGATCGACTTGTTTCTCATTATCAAAAACTCTGTACTTCAAATGGATTCGAATGTTCTAAATCAACAGGAGGAAAAGCAAATAACACCGGACGATCACAAAACAACAATAGCTATTAACTCTATGTGTTAAAAGCCAATGGAACTAAGCAGCGACTCGGAATGGCGGGTGTGAATCTGAGTGTAGATGAGTGTCGGTTTTGACGTTCGTCTTCTCTTTACCTGCACGTACAGCCAGATCCACGTTCACAGACGACTTATCAATGCTTTTCGTCCGGTTTAAACCACATGGATAATAAATAAACGTCATAAGCAGGCTTTTGAATTTCGTTTCAGCAAAATTGAAAGTGTATACCAATAATAATAGAGAGTTGAAAAGTAAAAGTGTCAAAAATCTTTCAGAGAAATTGCTATTATTTATAGTAACATATTCATTTATTCGTTTGAAACATATAAAGACAGAATTTCAGAGTCGTTGCTGTCCAAAAAAAATCTCACAGTTTAGGATTTCTCTTTCAAGTAAATAAAATAGTTCTTCGTAACGACAACAATGAATGTTGATTTTACAGAGCTTAGATCTAAATGTCAAATGTACTAGTTTGTTTTATAATCGAAGATCATATGAACAATATTCTTCTGTTATAATGGATTGAATTATAACCATATCGTATCGTACCGATCGGACGAAAACCGTCGGTTAATTTCGATATTCGATCGGTCTATACCACATGGATATTCATTTTACTGTGAATGTCCAATGAATTATAAGAGTTCATCATTGAAGATTTGATTATAAGCAGGTTCCTAGTTTTCCGTTTTCCAATATACATTCAAATTATGAAAATAATGATTTTGCAGCCATGAATGTTAAAATAATTTTAGCAATAGGAAATTCATGTATTGTTCCAATTGGATAATTTGTGCAGGTTGTATTATTCGATTTGGAAATTTGATAGGTTTTGGTGTGCGTGTGGATGTGGGTTTGGGTGTGGGTATGTGGGTGTGGGTGTGGGTGGGTGTGGATGTCTGTGTGGGTGAGTGTGGGTGGGCTGTGGGTGTGGGTGGGGTGTGGGTGGGGTGTGAGTGTGGGTGTGAGTGTGAGTGTATCAGAGATAGGCAAGTCAGGTTTTTTTGTATCCAAATCAAGTCATTTAAAAAAATACCCAAGTCAAGTCTTCTCTCGAGTCAAGTCTCAAGTTTTTGACTTAAATTGTTTTAAAATTTCCTAATTTTATCCTGTATCTATTTATTACAAAGCAAATTGTATTAGTCCTTCATTATATTACAATATGGCTAAGACTTTTAATGTCTTTCTTGACGTTTTTAGATCCATGATGCTCGAATGTCAGGCCCCTTTCAGAGAAATTTTTTTCTAAATGTGATGATACTGCGAAATCTGTCAGTAACTTCTTTGACAACGGATCCAATGTTTTATACTTAATCTACTGATTCATTAGGATCAATCTATCCGAATCTTTATCATTATCTTAAACTCTTATCGGTAGTTATTTAACTGCTAATAATGTTGTTACATAGTTTATTTATTATGTGATAAGGATTATTCACATGTACCATGAGGAAAAAATAGAGATTTTCTGTTGTACCTACGGCAAAAGATGCTGAATTTCATAGTACAAAAACAAAATAACTTCACATTTTGTGAACCTGATATTCGCTGGAGCTTCAGAAATTTGCTTGACTTGACTTGAGCTTTTTTTGCTCAGTCAGAAGTCAGGTCAAGTCAAAAAACTTTAAAGCCAAGTCAAGTCACAAGTCTTCTTGGTATTTTCCAAGTCAACCAAAACAAGTCAAAAATGACTTGACTTGCGCATCTCTGGAATGTATTATTTATTAGACACGCGCATCTACATGCACACGCATACGCACATTCCACCCCACACTCACCCACACTGTGTTCTCGTTAAAAAGTTTGTATGACGGTATATAAGTGATGACGTGTACTGTTTTTTTATTGATATGGTTAAAATAAAATTTGAATTGCATGAGAAAACTCATCTTGTGGTTAGGTCGACAAGCAGAAAAGAAAACCTCATAAATGGATAATACTTTGAAGACTGCCGCGACTGATTGTAATCAAACTCCGATCACAAGCACGATTATGAAAATTCGAAAGAACAGGTCACGCGACTATTATGAATGTAACTCGGCGTGATCACGTCCATCTCTAGTGCATAGATGTAATCGAGGGGACTTTCCTTACCAACATCAACACCAATCTGAAACAATTATATCAGATCGAACCGATCAAAAGCTCGTATGACAGCGTCAGAAACTGTTTTCTCGCATTTCTACAATATTTATGAAGTTGTAGCATGAAATCATTTCGTATAGAATTAGACAGGGCATGATTTTCTACAACTAATCGAACTTTTGGTTCGTTTTGACAGACCATATCTATCATACTTCATAATATCATTGTTCGCATTAGTTAGATGAGTATTCGAAAGTGAATATTATTGCCTTTTTCTTCCTAAAGTATAAGACATATTTGTTCCATTCGGTAAGATGACACCTCTTAAAGATCGAGCTTGAATAAGTTGTTCGAAAGTTACTGTTGCGTTCTCAAAATTACTCCCATCCAATATCGCATTGGTAAAATCAATGTTTCTCAAGTCTGCTCGTTTAAAAACACACTGCAAACATTTACCATTACGAAAATCGACATGGCGCATTAAAGTTTGTGTAAAATCACTTTTGATCACAGTGACTTGTAACATCTTGGTACCAATCATATTGGCTTGAGTAAAATTGGATTCGAAGACTTCAGCTTGAATCAAGGAACAGTTCAAAAAGATGGCTCCCCAAAAATCACATTTATTAAAACGTGCACGGATCGCATTTGCGCGATGGAATTGTGCATCAACGAAAGAAGTATTGCTGAATGATGCATTATGTAGAACACTATCAGACAAGTTTGCTATAATGAAATCGGACACATAGACAGTGCCATGTATTGGCTCAAACACCGAAGAGCTCATGTTAGCGCCGACTAGGTTAGCCTCATAAAAGCGACATCCAAAACAGTGCAGATGTTGAAGTTGGACATCAAGCATCAAGGTTCTTCTAAATGTTATTCGTTCACCATAAGCTTTAATGAATGTGGCCTTGGCAAGAGAAGCAAGCTCAAATGTTATGTAATTAGAATAATTTTGAAAATTAGTACCAACAATCGATGTCGAAGAAAAATCGGATGCTTCTAAATGAGCCGCTTTAAAAAGACAGTTCTTAATGCGTAAGTTGCGAAATGAGGCATTAATCAAGACGGTTTCTGTAAAATCGACAAATTCATAAGTTTTCCAATCGACTAGACTTTTTCTTGTCGTGCTCAAATTAAGTGCAGTGAGATCAGCTGTTTTTAAAGAGAGTAACGGTTCACCATTAGGCAAATGTGATTTTATAAGACCCAGTTCGTATAGTGAACGAATGACAAGACTTCGACGTTTCGGATCGAGTTGTTCTAGAGCAGCCAATGTTTTATAGCGAGCAACAAGACGAGCTGCTGTATCATTGAGTGTCATACCATACTTGTCAAGAAGTTTACCGACTGAATTGAGATATTCGACGAGAATTGCTTCGCGTTGATCATCTTGGGATAGAGCTATATCACTCAAGCGATTCTTTTCGGCAATTGATAGATCTTGAATACGATTTTGTTCAGCAATGATAGCTTCGTTCTTCGTTTGAAGTATTGTGTATACAGTGATGGTGACAGGCACAGAAAAAGCGATAATTAGTTGAGCCCAATCAAACCAAGAGCGTGTCTTTTTCTTCGTTCTACGTTCACAAAGAGTGATAGAATGTTTTCTGAATGGCATGGAAAGTCTTTATTATTAGAAGTTTAGAAAGTGACAAAAAATACATTTGCTGTGTGAGTGACATTGTGGATCAGTTTATATGCTGAGTATCGATTTCATGTTTCGTCACGTAAGCTTTACACATATGCACGTCTATTGTTTCCCATGTAATGAGTGTCTGTTTTCTGTTGTCAAAGCAAATGTTTTCTTTTCGTATCGTTTTACTATACCCATTGACAGTACAAATCGATAAAAAATAATTTCAGTCAAAACTTGCTAATAATTTTTGGTGATTATGAATTTCGAACAAAATAAGTCATCGATACTCATAATGTATTTAGTGAATGCTTCTAGTAAGATAGAAAATATTACAATAGTCCAAAAAAAAGACGAATATTATTCGATTCAGTCTATTTTCAAATATACGTATGCTTTTTTATAATATATCGAAAGAGAATCATCAGTAGTTCGTTTCGTTTTGACCTTGAACAATTTGAATTTGTTAAATGTAGCAACCTTTAAATTATATTGTTTATTACAGTCCACTATGAATAACGCTTTGATTGTAAGCTATTCGTTACATTCGTTTTTGTTGCAAATCTTGACTAACAAAAAAATCTTAATTTTCTGGAAGCGTTTTTCAAAACCGTTCACTGATGCATTCTTAAAAATCTGTGTATGCTAAACTGAATAGTCGTTTAGCAAGATTTGTCAAACATATTTGTTTACAGTTAAGTTTACGTTAATCTTTTTCGAATTGTTATCGTTTCGTATAGATGAAAAATAAAATTCCAGAGTAATTATTCCGTTCTGTTGTCGAAACTAAACTCCCATGTAATGCATTGTATATGTAACATCGGTAATTGATCCTGTTGTAGTATAGGAAAGATAGAATGCATGCAGCTAATTATTGAAGGGTGTGGGTGGGTGGGTGTGTTAGAGAAGTACTCACTGACACCCACACCCTACTTTTTTTCCATTTAATTTTGATGAATGAAACGAAATGATCTATAGTTGTAAAAAAAACATCAAGATTTGATTGAAAGATTTATTCCAACAGCAAAAATATTCTTTTTATTTAATTAACAAAAAAAAAATTACATATAAGATAAAAAACGTTTTTCTTTATCATTATTACCATAACTACAAAATACCATTAATAAACTTGATTAAATAATCAGGAAGAAGTTTTGTCTAATTTGTTTATTCTCTTTATCTCTTCTAGACATACTTTAGGTACTTCTGAAATACATAAGAAGAATAATTGATGAGTATTCGTTTGTGATAGTATAAATCGTATGATCGATGCCAATTTTTTTCTATTAATTCCAATGTTAAGATTTTCAAAACGAAGACATAAAGCAACAAGTATCTTGACTTTTTCTAATGTACATTTTTCGTTGAGGATTACATTTTTTATAATATGTCTATTAGATATTGAAAAGATTGATTTTGTTCAATTGATGTATATTCTCTATCATCAATTGCCCATGTGATGAAAACCAGGCAAAAACCGCCGGTTAACTGCGGCTTTACCGGTCCGGTTACCGTCTCCTTGACGTAGAAAAACCTCGGTTAGCCGGAAAGAATCACTACTTTTTTTCGGTTTACCGCTAAAACTGATCAGGTTTTTGTGACCTGGGTGATATGACACAAAGTTTTAATGAATGTATATTAAGTGTTAAACATAATAATTCGATCAATTGTATAAATGAAAAACAACCAAATTCAATGATTAATTTAGTAATTCTTCATGAAGGAATACTTTGATTGAGTCTAGTTGTAATCGATTTATTACGTGCATCCAGTTTGTAGTCCAAAGTAAGATCAGTAACATTTGGAAAACAGTTTACACAATCGATTAGTGCTCTTATATAGCATATATGAATATGATTAACCGAATTTAAGTTAATTTCTTGATGAGATGAACAAGTAATTGCATTTTTTAATTTGAATATATTGTTATATTTGTTTCTAAAATGTGAAAATAACACAAATCTATGGGGTCGTTCATATATAATATCATCATTTTTTCTCGATTTTTGGACCCATCTCCCAATGTCATCACTTGTCATTTTTTCTGGACCTCCCCCTCCCCCCCTTTCCCCATGATGACGTCATCAGTAAGACTTTTTTATTATCATATATAACGAAAAATCACTTATCAAATGACTATTGAAATAGCGTATAACGAGTTTGATAGATGACGAAAAATTTTGCTTCTAACATTCATTAGTTAGTTTCGATGCAGTGATTTTTCATTTTCTGTCATTTTTCTGTTTGTGTAAGTCAATCAATTGTGTAATTAAGAGGAAGATTCAAGACTTAGAATCTTGATCTTGGTACATATAGTGTTTCTGTTGATATAACTTTCAAGAGGTGATCGTTTTCATGATTATGATGAAAGCTTGTCATTGCAATAATTATGAAGCCTGGTGAAAAGCGAAAGAAGATTTCAAAAATTGCTTTTCCATCTTTGTCCCTTCTACACTTACTTCGACTAGGTGAAATTAGAGAGAAACTATGGATGAAAAGAAGCAATTTCGAGCTATATCACAAGAGGGTGTTAGGTGTCGGTATGAGTGGTCGTCTTCTCTACAGTGGCACCCGCACCCACACCCAACTGAATGTTCCAAGTATGACTTCTGTATATACGGTGAAGGAACACTTATGTTGCTTATGTGTTTGGAAAAAAAATCTTAAAAATCATCTACAATAACTAAAATAAAAGTATATTAAAAATTAATGATTTCTCAATGGAAAATTATTCATTTCTATACTCTTCGGGCTCATTTACCGTCGAAAACGATTGCTGTTAATTTTAGATGTCGAAGAGTGATTCGAAGAAATTTCACTATTACTTTACTCGTACATCGAAATTCGTTCACACTGATTCAACTAAACTTATTTCAATGATCTTTTTGAACAGAGCTGAATTATATTTCCTTGACATACCATTTTTATGCTGCGATAATCTAAAGATTGAAAAATCATAATGCTACGGTTAAAACACTGTTCGAAAGTTAAGTATACCAAAATGAAGGTATATTTTCCAGAACTTCAATATGACATTCCGTTTGTCTACACATTGCTTTTTAGAAATTCATATCAAAAGTAAAATCTTAAACTGGTTTAAGGTTCAAAATTGTTCGATGACACACAGCGCTCGCTAAACTGATGTCTTGTGCATTCTTTCAGACATTTAAGTTTGTCGTTTTGAAATAATAACATCATTGAGTCAGTTAATTCAATTCGAAATAGTTTTATAGAAATTATATGCATTGCTCAATCACAATTTCTCGTAGATAGGCGATGCAAAAGGTTTTAATTGTCTTAGCTACCATAGCTGCAAATATCTTTTTAATAAGATAAATCATGAACTTCTCGCTTTCGAGTAACGCTCACACTCCACCCTTGTGTGCTAAGATCATGTTGATTTGAGTTATTTTTATATGAATTTGTTTTTTAATACAGCGCTTAGATTCATCGTACTTGAAAATTTGAGTGTTAGTGAAGTAAGACAAAGCGTTTGAACTTTATTACCGAATACATTTGTATAACACGAATTCAGCTCAACATGTTCGTGATGCATACCAATAACAAACTTAAAAAATCAAAATGTCTTAGAGGGAGCGTTTGACATATCACTAGAAAACGGAAAAGTGCTGCATAAAGCACGAAAATTTTTGTTTTTTTTTTAGCTTCTTTTCGTTACTTGTGAAACAAATGTCGCCTCAATGTGAAAATATGTGACATTAGTAACATTTTGTGTTCTATCGAATGGCATTCAGACAAGAAACTGCACTGATATGTATTGACATTTCTGAAAAATTGATGGAGATGTCACAGGAAATCACGCAAACTTTCGAGAAGCCAAGTGTGCTTGTGTGTTTTGCATGACAGAAAACTTACCAATACACTGATTTTAGTTAAAATATAGTAGCTGTGAAGCATTACAAAAATCGGTTCTATACTAAGAAATATCTGATGAGAAAAATACAAGTATTTGTTCTACTAATTCATGAGAGATGAACTGAAAGTTCTAAAAACTTGTTCATATATCATGCTCAGCTTCGAAAAAACTATCAGTATCTATAAGAATTTCAATGGAATTTAGTTCTTGTTAAATAATTTTGCATAAAATCTCATTGATTGTATTGTAAAAATTTTTAAGATTAGTTTCTGTGTTTTTATCAGGAAACTTTATAATCATATGTCTATTACAAATGGTTTGAATTTTCTTAATATTTCCTTCAATTCTTCTTATTTTACTTCTATTATTTTCTCGTTCAGTTTTTCGTCTGCCCAGAACACAGTATTGAAAATCTTCTTAATCTCTGGAACTTAAAGAATTATTCTAAATACCAAATAGTGCCATATATGCTTTTGAATAGTCTTCTTATGGTATCTGATCGAAAACAGTTTTATATGCTAATTTACACTTCTTCAATATTTCTCCTTGATATTCTGTGTACAAAGCTGAAAATTCATTATCAGTAAAACATTTTCAAGGAAACGCTCAACATAAGTTAATGCTCATGCAATGTTGATTTCATCTCTTACATCTTTGATTTTAGAAAGAATTTTGTTTTCTTTCATTGTACAACGTAAAATGTAATAACACTTAACAAATTTTTTCTTGCAAATGTTCTATCGTGTCTGCCTCATGCGTATCTTCAAAGACAAGCAGAAATCTGCTGAAAGATGGCAACTCTTATAAAAACTATTTCTAAATCTCGAGAATGCAAAAAAAAGGACCTCTTTGATCATCAATAGCATGCATTTAATTTAATTTCATGTCTACTTCTTGACTTAAAAAAATATCAGTCTCGTATACTTTTTCTGCAGTTTTCATCGACATGAATTGGATTTTTTTCTTGCACGATGGTGATCCACTTTTATGGATTCTCAGGATTTCGAATCCCATGAGAATTCAAAGTTTCTATTGATATAATGAACATAGATTTAATATTTGTTAATGATAAAGGACTTGAACAATTCCAACAATCTTTTAAAACCAA